CCTACTCACTCGACTGACCTTCCTGTGTACTTGACCCAGGCTCCAGCTAGTGACAGCTTATCGAAGGGGCAGTGAGGGGCATGCCTCTCGACTGGTTTCCCTGGTAACTACTGAGCCCAGCTGACATCAATCTCCCTGTAACTGGTAATCTCCCCTTCCCCCCCGGGGACGAGGGCTACCAACATGTCCTGCCCTCCACGCCCCGCACACGGTGGGGTGTCCCTCCCGGACTTTGCTTCAGACCTGTAAGCTCCCCCACCCATTAAACCCCTGATGCCTCTGTTGCTGACTCCGGGCTCTTTCTTCGGCCTTGACGCTGGGCAAGCACAGGCCTTGTAGGCCTGCAGGGTGCAGCCCAACAACTGGAGGAGCAGCCAGGAGATGGAGGAAACTCCCGTGAGCGCCGAGATGTCGGGAACGGAAAGCTGCGGAGGCCATCCACTAGCATGCGGGGCCCGAAAGCTGCGGGCGTAATCTCGGGGCGGCTGTCCACTAACACGTGGGCCCCAAAGTTGCGGGGAAATCCCAGGGTGGCTGTCCTTGCTGAGTGAGGGCTGCCGAGAGATCTGGAGAACAGTGCCCTCTAATGGCTCTGCTATTGTATCTAAGTGAGCCTTTTGTAATTGGTTAAGCTAGCTCTCTAGAAGGAACTGGTATTTCTCTTGTGCCTTTGAGAAGTAAATGATCTACCTAGGCTCCCGGGAACTTTAATGTTTTGTGATCTCTAAGAGTAAAGGAGAAAAAAGAGCCTCTAGGTAAACTCTATAGAAATAATTATGTTTTGGATATGTCTATCTAAAATAGTCTCTCCAGATTTCGGTAACTTGGAACCTAAGTTAAAAGAAGAAAATTCATGGGTCATTTCAAATAGGATAAAATATTAGAACATTAATTGCTGGGTGGGTCTAAGCTTATCTACCTATGCCTGCTTAGGAGAGGAAGACTAAAGCATTAAATTTTCCAATCAGGAAATGCAGAATGACTTGCTTCTTGGTTTTTGCCAGAGGTTATGGTTTTCAAGGGATAAAATTATAATCAGTCATAATTCTGGTTATTGTAACCGAGTTTATCGATTACATTGTAATCAGGTGTTTACCGTGACTTTTTAAGTCTCTCATCTTTTATAGACAGTTATTGTTTTACTCTGATGCTTTTACAAAAGTGCTTCATCTTCAAGAAGATTCACAGTTAAGGACATTTTGACAATAACAGGTCTCTGATAAACTTTAGAATATACTGCTGAACTGGGTAAGAAATTAAAGAATCCTAATGGAAAACCTGATGGCTTCATTAAAAGTTAACAGAAAGATTGGTTACTGAGTGAACTGGTCTATATGGTTATAATTTTTATGGGTTTTGTCTGGAATGTTCCTGGTTTGATCTGTTTTCCACATAGAGGGAAACCCTTCCCCTCAAGTTGTTAATGACTTATAGCAACTGGGTAAATTACACCTGTGGGTAGAATTGAAACATTTGTCTTTTCTCTCTGCCTGGTCCCTCCAGAAATTGGGAACTCTAGGGTTCTGAGCAGCCTTATCAGATGAATGGGAAAGACAGTCTCCTGGCATGTGCAGGGATCTCAATGTTTTAGGGACCGAGAAGTCCATCGAGGCAGAGCCTGATGGCAGGCCTTTGGCACTGTTTTCCTGGCCCTGAGAGGCCTTTTGGTAATTCAGTCTGAGACTCCTGAGGAGTGCCCCCTCAGCCAGTTTGGAGGAGACTATGTGGTCAACTGACCAGACTTATATTGCCAACAAATTAATTTTGATTGGCTGAGTGAGGAGTAACTTTAGAGAGAACAATATTATGTTTCAGTGGATGTTAAATTCTAGTTCTGTTAATTGAGGTCTGTATTTATGAAAGTTATTGTGTCATATGCCATACTTTTGCCCTGATGTTCTGGATTGAAAGAAAATGATGTAGTGAAACTGTCACAGACTATAATCACATGAAGTATGACACTGCTTGCTTTAAGTCTGCTGCTAAAAGCACATGTACAATGCTTGTGTGACAATTGGGTATAAGTGATAAAATGTATAACCTATAAAGTGTTTCCTCCATTAACCTACCTGAGCCTGTTCACGAGATCTGATTAGTTTTCCCCCAATGTGAATGACTAGGTGAATATAAAGGAGGCCTCGCACCCACATGATCTGAACCTGGGGTAGGAGAAAGCACCCCAGCATCTCTGGACAAATGTTTTGATCATCAGTGCTTTCTACTGGAAGATGTGCAATCAAAAGGGGAAATGATGGAAAAATCTGCACATACTGCAGTATGGGGAAGTCATGCCAGCTTATACATGGTTTAACTTACTTTACTGACAGAGCAGCCTGTCTTGTGGCCTTTCAGACAGGCATTGTACATCTGCCTTGGCCATCGAGGAAGGGGATGAGTTTGAAAGTCAAAACGGTTCAGACGTCCAAGGTAAAACTAGGTGGCCATTGTATATACGATTTTAGACACGTTCTCCTATTACTGGAGAGTTTTCTGAACTGTATCTCAGATGTGGTTACTGCTCGTATTGTGCTTAATTGTCATGATCTCCCCTGTGTCGTGCCTGTTAGATGTCTTACATTGCGTCCCTAGCCTAAGCGAAGGAAATGAGTCTAGTTGCTGAGTGTCCAGCGAGATACCGCTGCCGCCCTCCCCCCGATTTTTCTATGAAAAATCGACCTGGCTAACGCGACTATGTGGGGACTACCGACCATGGGGGAAGACGACTCACCTCTTCTGGTCCCACGTGCCAATACATCAGAAGGACCCCCGTCGGTAAACATTTCTGTACAACTGACTGCCTATGAGCCCCCCTGGGCTATGCTGGGTGGAGTGGAATAGGCTGGCTTCTGGACACACAAGTCCAACTAGTGGGATTAACTGCTTTTTGTTTAGAAAGACCTAATGGGTCCACCCCTAATTGCACCCAACATAACACGGGGTGGCAGACCTGTACTGTGACTGCTGACTCCTGGCTAGGCCACCAAAATGTTCCCCTTAAAGCCGGGCCTTCCCCTCCCCATGGGGTGGCTCTGGGTTTGTGAAAAACAGACATGGCCTTACCTTCCTTATAACTGGACAGGGCACTGCTGCCATTGACTCCCTCTCCATTGACCTTGTACGCACTTGGCTCCAAAATTTGCCCACATCGCGGCCAATGACTTCTCTGAGCATACAGTTCTAGGCATCTTACTCATGATACTTTGGCCGTATTGTACTGTGGTGTCTGGTTGCAGTGTCCCCTACATACCTGACCCCAGGGATATCAAGGAAGATGAGCGGACCAAGACTGTAAGGGTCGTGCAGGGTACGCAGGGCGGAGGGTGTGGCCAGGCCCCTCAGATGGCTGTTCTTTTGTTCTGTCCATCCCCTGCCCGGTCAGGGTCTGCTTCACCTACACCCTACTCACATGACTGCCCTTCCTCCGTCTTGCCCTAGGCCCCAGCTAGTGATAGCTTGTCAAAGGGGTGGTGAGGGGCGTGCCCCTCGACTGGTTTCCCTCGTAACTAATGAGCCCAGCTGACATCAATTCCCCTGTACCTGGTAACCTCCCCTTCCCCAGGGAGCAAAGACTGCCCCATGTCCTGCCCTCCACGCCCCGCACACGGTGGGGTGTCCCTCCCGGACTTTGCTTCAGACCTGTAAGCTCCCCCACCCATTAAACCCCTGATGCCTCTGTTGCTGACTCCGGGCTCTTTCTTCGGCCTTGAAGCTGGCCAAGCACAGGCCTTGTAGGCCTGCAGGGTGCAGCCCAACAACTGGAGGAGCAGCCAGGAGATGGAGGAAACTCCCATGAGCGCCGAGATGTTGGGAATGGAGAGTTTTCACCTTATGCCACTAACAGTAACAAGTAGAATTTCTCCTAACTTCTCAACAACTCAATCTTCTGTCAGGCATGTTTCTCTGAGTACCCTGGGAACGGCCAGAGGGACTCAAACAAAACATTTTGTGTCTGGAGTCTCTCCTTGTTAACGGTGTTAGATGATCAGTAAGCCAGCCTCTTCAGAAATGCCAGTCTAAATATTCCCAAGAAAGAGCAATTGGATTATTAGTGTGACTAACGAATCCAGCGACAGGACGTTTACTGCCACAGATCGAGCTTCTGCACAGGAGACTGGCCATCATCTCTCATCGTATGAAAATAGTTTTGTGGGGACTTTTTCTGACTCTGGCTTTCGGCTGCTCCTCCTATACTATATATTTTCTTCATCTGCGGGGACCTAATTACAGTGCCTGGATGGTTTCTCTAATCCATCCACCTGCTGCATCTGATGCCATTCAGTAGGAAGTGTCTGGACGCTGCAAACAAGATGTGTCTCACTTCTGACACTGACTGTGAACCTGAAGAATTCTGCGAATCAAAGCTCTGCGATGGGAATCCCTGTTGCAGGTACACATGAGCAGTCCAGCCATGCTGTTCTGAAGATTATATATCCTTATTCATTCATGACGTATGTTATCATAACAGCTTCCCTTTCATCTTCTTTGTTCCAGGCATCATCCTTGGTGCTGTCACCATATCTTTGACTTCAACCTCACAGACCCCCTTGCGACAGGCAGATTTGTCTTCATTTTTCAGATGAGCAAAGTGAGGCTCAGAGGAGTAACATCATTTGCTTCAGGTAATGCAGTAGCAGGTGCTGGCGCTGGGTTAAACACGCTTGTCTGACAATAAGTTCGTGCTTTTTACCCGGCTGGATGGTGTCAACTCCTTTCATTTACTCATTCATTCATTCACTCATTCATCCCTCCATCTACCAACCAGGCATTGGAGAAGCACCTACAGAGCCTGGGTACAGGGAATTCAAACACACAACCTTACCTGAGCAGATCTACAAATGGAAATTATTGTGACTTCCGGTTGGAGATTTGGATTTTTATGAGACCCTATGCCCACCAGACAGAAACTGAGAATCAAAGTATTTGAGAGCAAATAAGCATCATCATCGCCCTCAGGCACACCGTGGGCGTGCCGCCCTCGCCCAGCACCCCAGCCCCCTTACCATCTCCGGTTTTGCCTGGGTTGGTGGGTTCAGGGGTACTCAGAGGCCTCAGGGGAATGATGATCTCATCCACATTAACCCCCTCTTCTGCGTGCTTCTCAGAAACGTGGGAGAGGAGTTCCGACTGACTTGGTGAGAAAAGGTTACAACATTTACACATGAAGATGGCTGGGTTTTCTGTAAGAAAAAAAAAGCAAAATATGTTATTTCCTCTTCACCAAAACAGTGACTACATCCAAATGCCAAAGAAAAATACTGAAGGTTGCTCTTCTGAGCAATCGCCAGGCACCAACAGGTGTGTCCCTCTGGTGGACACCGCACGGCCAGGCAGCTCACTTCTAACTTCAGGTGGCCCCGGTTGCCAGAAAATTCTTTCTTCAATATTCCAAAACCTCAGTCCTTCTGGACCGGGTCTAATATGGACCTCCCTGTTACCCTAATCCACTCAAGAGCCTAGATTCGGGATTCACACAGCAAAGTAAGAAATGAATATGGAACTTGAAAATTAATGCAACCTTCAGATGAATGAACCACACTGACAACAATGAAGTATTCTAGTGAGACTCACTCAAATTAGGTGCAAGGAAAAAATGATCAAAACAGCACTTCTTAAGAGCCAAGCACCTTTCACTGGCGGGCACAGGAACTAAGAACAAGGAGAATGGGAAGCTGTTGCTTGCTTAAGCCCTTTAATGCCTATCTAAAGCATTACCACCGTTCACAAGTATTTATTAACAGTCCATTATGGTTCATCCCATTATATAGGCAGGAAGACATATGGGGAAAGCAACTCATTTTTGAGTCCAATAAAATAATTACAGGCACATATAGGAATATTAAATTTAGGATCCAATAACAAAAGCTAGATTGTTTTCCCACATTTACACTGAAAGGAAGAATTGGTATGATGGCTTTGAAGGTTCAGTTTCTAACTCCAGACCCTAAATGCTGTAAAGCTGGATGAACTCGGACAGGTAGTAATGATCTCTTGGTTGCAACACTGAACAGGACATGCAGGTAACAAGTCTCCTCTGCAGCGGGAACCCAGGAGGCTCAGTAAGCCACGCCCTGATTCAGTGCAAGCCTCCACCTACTCAGTGCTCTCGCCCGGCCGCAGTAACCGCTGAAAATCCACCCCACGCTGCCGGGCTCCCGACACGCACCACCGCCAGCCTCACGGGGACTGTTAACACGGTCTCGTGCAAGGCGTCGAGGCCACCGACTCTGCCAATGGCGAACAAGTCTATCGCGCCTCTTCCTCCCTCCTCGGCCCCGTGCTCACAGCCAGCTGCCGACTGGCTTCCCATTTCACTGAAGCGGCCAGAAGACGGTGCCAGAGCCTCCTGGAGCAGCCGCCCACCTGCCGCTCCTGCCGGGAGGAGAGAGGGCCCAGCAGCGGCACAGAAGGGGGCTGAATGCGGCGTGGTTCACCCCGGGGCAGGCAGAATGTCGAACACGTTCCAGCAGCTCGTGGAGGTGAGAGAAAGCAGACCAGCACAGCAACGCTGCTGATGCTGTCACACTTTCTAAAGACAACGCACCCCGAGCGCCTACACCTGGAAGACTGCTCGGCCGGCCCTCACCCGGGAAGGCACGGGACAAAGGGCAATGCCGGGGCTTCCCTGGTGGCAAAGTGGTTGAGAGTCCGCCTGCCGATGCAGGGGACGTGGGTTCGTGCCCCGGTCCGGGAGGATCCCACATGCCGCGGAGCGGCTGGGCCCGTGAGCCATGGCCGCTGAGCCTGCGCGTCCGGAGCCTGTGCTCCGCAACGGGAGAGGCCACAGCAGTGAGAGGTCCGCGTACCAAAAAAAAAAAAAAAAAAAAAGATCTACGCTGTGTCCCATGTGCTCCAAACCCCAGCCTCTCCCACCGCCTCAATGACATGTTCTCGAAACTCTGCTTCTCTTCAGTTTCAGTCAGAAAGTGGCAGAGGTACAATTCAGGGCCTAAGCATTTTAAAGCCTAGTTATTCAGAAGCCAGGTAGGGCCTAAATCCACTTCAGTTTTAGGCAGAAACTTGCTGAAGTAGAATCCAGGGCCTAAGCATTTTAAAGCCTAGTTATTCAGAAGAGGGGGCCTTCCGGGAAAATGGCGGAAGAGTAAGACGCGGAGATCACCTTCCTCCCCACAGATACACCAGAAATACATCTACGCGTGGAACAACTCCTACAGAACACCTACTGAACGCTGGCAGAAGACCTCAGACCTCCCAAAAGGCAAGAAAGCCCCCACGTACCTGGGTAGGGCAAAAGAAAAAACAGAGACAAAAGGATAGGGACGGTACCTGCACCTCTGGGAGGGAGACGTGAGGGAGGAAAAGTTTCCACACACCAGAAGCCCCTTCGCGGGCGGAGACTGCGGGTGGCGGAGCGGGGAGCTTCGAAGCAGCGGAGGGTGCGGAGGGCAAAGCGGGGAGATTCCCGCACAGAGGATCAGGGCCGACCGGCACTCACCAGCCCGAGAGGCTTCTCTGCTCACCCGCCGGGGCGGGCGGGGCTGGGAGCTGAGGCTCGGGCTTCGGTCGGAGCGCAGGGAGAGGACTGGGGTTGGCGGCGTGAACACAGCCTGCAGGGGGTTAGTGCGCCACGGCTACCCGGGAGGGAGTCCGGGGAAAAGTCTGGACCTGCCGAAGAGGCAAGAGACTTTTTCTTCCCTCTTCGTTTCCTGGTGCGCGAGGAGAGGGGATTCAGAGCGCTGCTTAAAGGAGCTCCAGAGACGGGCGCGAGCCGCGGCTAAAAGCGTGGACTCCAGAGACGGGCAGGAGACGCTAAGGCCGCTGCTGCCGCCACCAAGAAGCCTGTGTGCGAGCACAGGTCACTCTCCACACCCCCCTTCCGGGGAGCCTGTGCAGCCCGCCACTGCCAGGGTCCTGGGATCCAGGAACAACTCCCCTGGGAGAAGGCACTGTACGCCTCAGGCTGGTGCAACGTCACGCCGGCCTCTGCCGCCGCAACCCCGACCCGCACTCCGTGCCCCTCCCTCCCCCGCCCCCGGCCTGAGTGACCCAGAGCCCCCAAGTCAGCTGCTCCTTTAACCCCATCCTGTCTGAGCAAAGAACAGACGCCCTCCGGCGACCTACACGCAGAGGCGGGGCCAAATCCAAAGCTGAGCCCCGGGAGCTGTGAGAACAAAGAAAAGAAAGGGAAATCTCTCCCAGCAGCCTCAGAAGCAGCGGATTAAACCTCCACAATCAACTTCATGTACCCTGCATCTGTGGAATACCTGAATAGACAACGAATCATCCCAAATTGAGGAGCCGTGTGGATGAAAGGTGCGTGGTGCTACAGTCAGGAGTCAGTGCTGTGCCTCTGAGGTGGGAGAGCCAACTTCAGGACACTTGTCCACAAGAGACCTCCCAGCTCCACATAATATCAAACGGCGAAAATCTCCCAGAGAGCTCCATCTCAACACCAGCACCCAGCTTCACTCAATGACCAGCAAGCTACAGCACTGGACATCCTATGCCAAACAACTAGCAAAACAGGAACACAACCCCACCCATTAGCAGAGAGGCTGCCTAAAATCATAATAAGTCCACAGACACCCCAAAACACACCACCAGATGTGGACCTGCCCACCAGAAAGACAAGATCCAGCCTTATCCACCAGAACACAGGCACTAGTCCCCTCCACCAGGAAGCCTACACAACCTACTGAACCAACCTTAGCCACTGGGGACAGACACCAAAACAACGGGAACTACGAACCTGCAGCCTGCAAAAAGGAGACCACAAATACAGTAAGATAAGCAAAATGAGAAAACAGAAAAACAGCAGATGAAGAAGCAAGATAAAAACCCACCAGACCTAACAAATGAAGAGGAAACAGGCAGTCTACCTGAAAAAGAATTCAGAATAATGATAGTAAAGATGATCCAAAATTTTGGAAATAGAATGGACAAAATGCAAGAAACTTTAACAAGGACCTAGAAGAACTAAAGATGAAACAAACAACGATGAACAACACAATAAATGAAATGAAAAATACTCTAGATGGGATCAATAGCAGAATAACTGAGGCAGAAGAACGGATAAGTGACCTGGAAGATAAAATAGTGGAAATAACTACTGCAGAGCAGAATAAAGAAAAAAGAATGAAAAGAACTGGGGACAGTCTCAGAGACCTCTAGGACAACATTAAATGCACCAACATTCGAATCATAGGGGTTCCAGAAGAAGAAGAGAAAAAGAAAAGGACTGAGAAAATATCTGAAGAGATTATAGTTGAAAATTTCCCTAATATGGGAAAGGAAATAGTTAATCAAGTCCAGGAAGCACAGAGAGTCCCATACAGGATAAATCCAAGGAGAAATACACCAAGACACAGATTAATCAAACTGTCAAAAATTAAATACAAAGAAAGCATATTAAAAGCAGCAAGGGAAAAACAACAAATAACACACAAGGGAATCCCCATAAGGTTAACAGCTGATCTTTCAGCAGAAACTCTGCAAGCCAGAAGGGACTGGCAGGACATATTGAAAGTGATGAAGGAGAAAAACCTGCAACCAAGATTACTCTACCCAGCAAGGATCTCATTCAGATTTGATGGAGAAATTAAAACCTTTACAGACAAGCAAAACCTGAGAGAGTTCAGCACCACCAAACCAGCTTTACAACAACTGCTAAAGGAACTTCTCTAGGCAAGAAACACAAGAGAAGGAAAAGACCTACAATAACGAACCCAAAACAATTAAGAAAATGGGAATAGGAACATATATATCAATAATTACCTTAAATATAAATGGACTAAATGCTCCCACCAAAAGACACAGATTGGCTGCATGGATACAAAAACAAGACCCATATATTTGCTGTCTACAAGAGACCCACTTTAGACCTAGAGACACATACAGACTGAAAGTAAGGGGATGGAAAAAGATATTTCATGCAAATGGAAACCAAAAGAAAGCTGGAGTAGCAATTCTCATATCAGACAAAATAGACTTTAAAATAAAGACTATTAGAAGAGACAAAGAAGGACACTACATAATGATCAAGGGATCGATCCTAGAAGAAGATATAACAATTGTAAATATTTATGCACCCAACATAGGAGCACCTCAATACATAAGGCAAATACTAACAGCCACAAAAGGGGAAATCGACAGTAACACATTCATAGTAGGGGGCTTTAACACCCACTTTGACCAATGGACAGATCACCCAAAATGAAAA